GTAGGAGGGGATGGATTACACTTCAGCTATTTGTTTTTAGCCACATGATAATTACTGGGAATAGGGAAGGGAAGAAAATGGCCCATCAGTATTTATATCTTTAGAAAAACAATGGATTGAATGCCCCATTTTTATTTCCACGAGGAAGTAAATTATTTTTATACCAAGGGACTAATTCTCATTTTCTATCTGGACCCTATGGGAGATTAGAGAAGTTAGTGTGATGCACACCAACGACATGCCTCAATGCATGTGCTAATGATCCCTATGGACCTGAAGTTTCCCCAGCACTTGGGGAGATGAACCAGACAACTGTCAAGGTCCTGCTCCAATCTCTCCTCAAGAGAGCTGCATAATCCTGTAATTGCTATAAACCCTTTGGCACAAATATTGTGATTTATTAGATGTATAGCGGAATAGGTGAAGCTTGAGAGAGACATCTTCATTTTTATCCACTTCTGGAATTGCACCTGACTGCAGCACCTGTGAGCACCGAAGAAGAAGATACTGCATGATCTGACAGAGATCTTCTCACTAGAGCTGTTACTCCTGCATTCTGTCTCTCAGTGTCACCCAGAAGTATATAAACAAAAATGGTGAGTAGATTACTGTATTTAGAAGCTCAACTCAGAGGGTCGGTGCTTCGCAGTTGGTTTGTTACATAAAGAAGCCCTAAAGGGATACAAAAGGAAAAAATGAAGAACGTCCTCCTTGATCTTGGAAGATTTACAGATAGTGAACAGACACACCAAGACACAAAGGTAGACACTACACATACATCACAACTCATCATTTAATTACAACAAAACTATACATTTACCAATGCAAAATTATTTTTAAAGAATAAAGTATAAATGTGCTGAAGAGACAATATGTGCATGAAGAAATGAATGGGCTTGGGGTCACCGGATGAGGGGGTCTCTGCACTAGGAATGAAGAGGTCTGACCCAAAGCCTGTGTTGGGGGACTGAGAAACTCTGGGAGGAGCCCTCCTGAGTAAACCTCAGGTTTTGATTTATTATAAAACAGGAAGAAGTAGACAAAAGCTGCTTGTTAGACATTAGCACTGATCAGGGAGGACATGGAGAAAGTCAGATAGTAGGTCTCCACCTTTGTTTTTGCAAAACCGTGGACCTTGAACACAACCTCTGCCTCCAGCATCAAGAGAGCTCTGGAATCCATAGAATCTTTACCATAATTATCATTGCCACATCTCACATACACATTCTCCCTTGAATGCCAGTTTTCTGATCTTCTGCACACAAACAACTCAGATGCCATTCTCATGATTCTCTAGATATCTCAAAAAAGAAGCAAGTCTTATGCTAAGGATCAAGGCTCTGTTTCCCCTACAAAGAAACACAAACTAAAGGGGTTTTTGTGGGTTTTTTTATTTTGAGGCCAGAGTTTATTTTATTTTTCTTTCTCATAAGCCTTTATTTCTTAATTGAATCTTAATGCTTCTGTTGATTAACAACTCACCAAACAGTGAACAAGAAATCACATTCCAACTTTGAATTTTGCTTAAAAACTTCCAGTCAAATGTATATAAAATAGTGCTAACTCTTACTTTGTGAGTTTCTTGTTTCTTTTTAAGTTTTTGTTTTTATTGAATCATAACTGTACATTGATGCATTTATGGGGTTCAGTGTACTGATTTGATGTACAATGTGAAATGTGGAGTTTATTTTCTAAAAAAGATTTGTCAGGCAGAAGTAAGAAACTGAGATCTGAAATTTGAGTTTTATTTTGACAAAATAAAGCTATAATCATGCCACTGCATTCCAGCCAAGACAACAGGAGACCTATCTCAGTAAATAAATTTGAAGTTTGTTTTGGTATAAAGAATAGAGAAGGGATCCATACTCCTTCTCTCCCACAAATGCTTTGTCAGTTACTGTGTTTTAGCTATTATATTTTCAAAATATGTTGTTTAGATATATTTTAAGATATTTTATTTTCATTAGGTATATTTTTCCCCTCAGAATTTCTCTACCTGGATTCATGGGTTTATTTTCCAAGTCTGTGTTTGCATGACACATCAGCTTTATTTAACATATGTAGAAACATATGTATATACATATATGTGTACACATCCACAGACATATATAATATATATGCTAAAATTTTATGTATTTTATCAATATACATATTTTCCATATTTTGAAGATCTCAAAACATATCTATAAAATACATAAAGCAAAGTTTTGATTATTACCATTTTAGATGAGAGAACTGTGAAAGGTAAATGAGTTTTCTGAGATCTTTTAATTATGTGACATTGGCCAAGCCTTAGCCACTGAAGGACCATAACAGGAGAGTTTGTTGCTATAGATCAGGATATATGAATCTGTCTCTTTTTATATGCTTTGAGACTTGTTTATCTCATCATGTCTGCTTTTCTTTGAATGTGATGCAGTATTGAAGCTGGAATTTGGTACCGATTTCTCCACATATGTATGATTTATTGCATCAAAGTCATATTATCTGTTACAATTTTTTTTCCCTCAAGCAGTGTATAGTACTGTGGAAGAAAGAACTATACTTTATCTCCTCAGTACCAGACCCAGTTAAAAGAAAGAGATATTTTATGTATGTGTTACTTTAGGAAAATTATTATTTCATATATTAATTATCTGCATAGTTAATTAAAAATCACCTAAAAATAATAACTTGTTCTGGGCTCTATGGCTTACACCTGTAATCCTAGAACTCTGGGAGGCCAAGGCAAATGGATTACTTGAGCTCAGGAGTTCAAGA